ACGTCTCTGACGTCACTGCTCGCCGTCCGCCAACACGGGATGAAGCAAGTTTATAATAAAAGAGTGGAAACCCGTTAATGAGTATCCCGCATCCGCTACGTTTATCCGCGAATAAAGCACGTTCGTATAAATACAATACGCAGGAAACGCATCGCGCGCGGATCGCATCTGTAAGAAGCTCGCTAGCGAGACCGTTTTTCGTGATATATAGACGCGGATCTACGGTTTGTTTGTTAAATCCATTCCTCGCAAGCCTGAGACGTGATGTCACGCGCAATTAGATCTTCCCAACGCGCCGTCATAATTTTATCGCATACTGCCAAGTGTATCCGACGTCGTGCGCGTGTGTGACGTCAGCAAGCGATATCATAGTATTTTGTTTAGAAACCATATTTATAGACGACGTATAATATTAAGGAACACAATTCAGACTTATTTTTACATCGGTGTAAGGTGCGCTAGTGACAAAAGCATTTTACGGCAAACAAATGCAACAGACAAAACACTTTCCACGAGTGCTAACGAACTCGATATTAATATTCTCGGGATTTAATAAAGTTACAATTTTCGTCCCGTAAATACTTTTTACCGTACGATACGGCGAACCAATCTAACATGGCGGGGACCGGCAAAAGACATATTGCGTTTTTTCGCAGACATCCCGTTCGAACGACTATAATACCAGATGAATCGCAGCACGCAGACAAAACCCAGACATGAATTGCCACGGCAATTTAAATGAAGTACAACTTAAAGTATTTACCTATACATATATTTAAAGCGCGCGGCGTACCTTTGGCAAAGGCATTGTATCCAACGTCATAATAAGTAATAACATTTATAATCGTTTGTAATCCGCATTACGTCTTCTTATAACCTGTCGCCGTAAGTAATGGCAAGATACGCGAAGCTGAATCACGATCGAACGGCTCGAGAATTGCGCATACTCGATTTATGAACCGTATCTGAAATATGAGAATAGAAATACCCGTTAGGCTCTATTCTTCGTATGCAATCAAAGGTTACGATGTTGAATGCCGTGAGGCTTTCCCAACGTTTCGGCATAATTTCCTACGCTTACGTTTGAATATATTATACGAGATACACGCAGCTCTCGAGCGTTATAGCTATATAAATCATTTACTTAAGTGTAATTCGAAAACGCACATGTATGTAAATAGCAAACGTAGCAATTTGCTCAACGAGGGCAAAATAATTTACCGTCTTAATCGAAGACCGAAATAATCAAGAGACTAAAAAAAAAAAAACGCCAAGTTAAACTAATTAGATTCAATCGAGAACATTTTTCACAACGAAGTGTCGAAGCACTGATCAGGGAGGGAAATGTTAACCAGTTTCTTTGCGAATCTATCAGATAACGGCGAAATTATCAGAAGCTCCTGTTTTAAATGATCAAGTGTCTGCTTAATTGTACGCGAGCTAAAACCAGTTTTGTAGAGAAATGATGTAACAAATCGCGCTCACAAAACCGTCGACGATTCCCGGTCGATCACTTCCACGTAACGCGTTGCGAGTGCTTTTCAGACAAAGCCGTGACGTCAGACACCGGCGCCGGTAGGGATAAAGGCGCGTGTAAAAAATGCTTTACAAAGGAAATGTCACAACGCGCCTTATTCGAGCCTTCGAGGCTCGCGACTGCCGTCGTCTAAGTACACCCGGCTGACTTCGATCGGATTCTCTTTCTTTCTCTCTCTCTCTCTCTTTCGATTCGCGAAGCGAATTTTATCATGTCCCGTTACGCCGACCGAATCTCGGCGCATTCTTCGATTCGGGTCACGGCTCCGCGTACGCGGCCAATTTCTTGTTGACATTCTTAGATCACACTCGTTACGGAACCGCCCGAATTCCTCGCGAACGGGGATCTCCGGACGATGACAGCCCGCGCTACGGTGTTCCGTGAAATTGAACGAGGTGTTTCAGAGATATTATGAAGAAACACCGGGGCTTCTCTACCGATGTATTCTCGGGTTACCTGACCTATCTACGTTTAAAAACTGTTATAAACGTTCGCGGCCTTTTTGTCATCGTTTGCGCGTTACTAATCGCATCCTGTTAATGCATAATGAACGTTAAAAGCATATTCCGGGGCTTCCGGTCGCCGCTGTAAATAGCGTGAAGACATTTATTTGAAAAATTAATACTTTCACGCGAGCGTTTCTAGGTTTCTACATAAATATTAATTAGTATCCCGCGCGAATGGTTTATCGCGCGGAAACGATGGCAATGTAATAAAACAATGTTTACTTTCTATCGTAACCAATTGCTCAGGAATACTCGGGATTAAGGTAGATTCTTTTCTCTGTGGAAATGCATTCTTTTGGTTACGGCGCACAGAAGTTCGCGAGATCACGAGATCTCTTTCGCTGTAACGGTCCCGCGCTAGTGTAGTTTTATACGCGTCCGACTCGATTTTACAGTTATCATTGTTTCGAAGGAATGCGGCAATTCCTTTCCTGTTCCGCGGCAGTCGTTGTGCGGACGTAGGACCCGACACGGCCGAACCCGGAAAGTCCTCGACTGATTTGTATAACGATTCGGTATTCCGGTTCTTTGCGCGTATATACATTCCTACGTGATTAACCGCGCGCGGAATAAGACCATAAAAGATTGAGAGGCAGGCTCGAACACCGGCCGACCGGCCGCTCGTGCGTCGGTTTCGCAGGTGTTCCAACGGAACGTTTGTTGAACAAATACGATCAAACGTTCGCTCGAAATTTGTACACGAGAATAGAGCGAAAGAGACAAAGAGAATGCGGAATTACGAAGAGTATAAACAGTTGAAATACACGCGTCGGAGTTTGAGAGACAATAACGATTTTTACGAATTGGAGCGTGATATCGTAATTATTTAATGGAGGAGTTATTTCAATTATCAGATATTTTATTATTTACATGTGTATCGAACGTGTAGATTTTATTTGAAAAAAACTAAAGTTTCGATAGCGAATATCACGATAAAGCAATAATATTTTATATTATTACAAAATGTACGTAATAAATATTTTCAATGCACACTCGGTCAGATATAAACATATATTAGATCTTTATTATATAATCCAACGTTACACAATGCAAGAGCATTAAACTCTTTAAATGTAACATAATTGCTACGATATTTCTGTAAAATTTCCGTAATATAATGAGCAATCATAAATGGGTCGCGTGCACGATTACATTTATAGAACGCGTGCTTTATTTATTTAATTTTCTCAACATCGCTTTATTGCAATCACCGTTGCAAAATATTGTTCACGAAGGTCGAATTCATTTGCGAGGCACAATATGGATGGATATTGAAATCTGCGTGCGGGAAAACGGGTGGGTAAAGTATAATTATACGATAAACATAGCCGATACGTGGCGATGCAACTGAGGGAATACTAGGTTAATAATAATGGCGAAAGGTAATAATGCCAAATATCCGGTCAAACAGGTTGCATTAACCCGCTGGATCACGCGCCGTTTACTCGCGATGATCATCAACACACGGTTCGTCGTAAATTCAATAATTTAATTTCGCGGCGTATACACCTATTGGAGGTTTCATTAAACCGGAGGAAAGTCAACTAAGAAACTAAATTAATTATTTCAATTTCTCTTGATATATATTTCTTACATGGCTGCCGTTCTAATCTCATCAACGGTATATTTAATGGTAAATGTACCGAGTACCATTTCCTTGTCGATATTAGATGTGATTTCATTCTGATATTAAACTAGATAAAATTAAGGCGATCATGTCGGAGTTGAATGCGCGACGAGATAAGTACACGTGGTCCATCTCAGTAGCGGTTCCAGCTTAAACCTGTTGAGTATCAATTCAATTTCGCTACCTTCGCGATCTGAACTACTCTATTTTGTATTCGAATAGAAAGCGAAATGACGCAAAAGCGCATCATTAAGAAAGACCTAATCGAGAGCTCGTTTAACTTTCCGAGATGCGATTACGCACTTGGGACGCGACAGCCGGACGCGCGATATTAGACGTCGATGGTCGAATGCATATTTACGACAATATACGCGGCAGAGATTTCGCTCGTCAATCTCCCCCTCCCTCGCTGAATTTAATCTCGACGCATTTTATTATTGCTCAAGTATAAATCCCGTTGCTCAAGCGAGGCGATTTGGCCGTTGCAACACGCTCGGTGTAGCGAAACTCCTCGCCGGCGCGGCGAGGTAATCCGCGCGCCGGTGCCGCGCTTCAGGAGTACTTGTGAAATGAAGCAAAATGCACTTTCACCTAACCGGCGTTGCGTTTCGCAACCTCCCCGCTCCCCGCCGCGGCATCCCCGACCGCCGTCCGCGTCGTCGTGTCGAACGAAAGCAATTCCGTCGCGGCGGAATGCCTTCTCTGTGCCGGCGTCCTAATTGTCGCACGACGCGACGGCCGCGAACTGAATTTCGCCGGCGCGGGCGCGCGCGTTTACGCCTCTTACCCGCGCAACGCGCGCTCGTCGACACTTTCGACTTCGCCGTCACGCTACGCGCGAACAAGAGCCATCCGTATACTTACTACGCGTACGCGTCCCGCTTTGTACGGATGCACTCTCGCTCGCGCGTACGCGTGGCTCGTACAAAAAAATCGGAGAAAGCATCGAGATCCTCGCGATACGCGAGAATGGCACGTAGAGTCGGAGTCTGGCAGTGCCGGGCGAGAGCGGTAAGATTAAGACCGGCGGTGTTGCAGGTTTCGGATTTCGATGCCGCGAACATCCGGAAATGATCTCCGTGTCTTTCCGTGACGTGACGGCGAACGCGCGTGAATCAGCGCGAGATACGTATTTCAACGCGACGACTCGCCACTTTTACGTCGGTCTCTCAATCTCCGACTCAGGCGTGGCTGACGCAACGCGCTCCGCCGCCACCGCTGAGCCAGCCGTCTTTCGCGATCGAAATTTCCCCGCGAACGGTCGAGTGCGGACGACGTCGTCGCCGCGGCTTTCCTATCGTCGTCTAACGCACGTTTTTCAGACGCGTAATCGCGGAACGTGCAAACAACGGTGCGCGGACGCGGGAGTTCGCCGTTCCTTCCTTGGGAGGCCGCCGGATGCACGAGTTTAGACGAGGAGGCGGAAGGTGAGGTGAGGTCGTCGACTCGCGCGGCGCGGTCGCGTGGTCTCTCGGCTCTCGGGAGATGATGCCGGGCGTTATTATACCGCGCCGCGGATCGAGCGCGTTATCGCGCGCGAGGGGAGGGGGACGCGAGATCGAGGGGACGGACGGAGAAAAGAAATTCGAAAGTGGCCGGTGAAAGTGCTCGAGTACGCGCGCGGGCCCGCACGTGGATTGCAGGCGTCAGCGAGCGTGGCGCGGCTCACACGAGCGGACTTCCTTCACTTCCACCTCGTCGTTCTTCATCCACCTTCACCTGTCGCCGCTTCCTACTCGCACATAGTCCCCTGGCGGATCAATCTACCGCGCGCCGGACGACCTTTGTACTTTCCCTCTGTCCCCTGACCTTTGAGTCCGGCCCGATGGAGGTGAGTGGGTTCAACCGGAAAAACGGCTCGAAGGCCGTTCTCAATGGCGAACCCGTTCGGGGAAGAGCCGCTGTTTCAGTCACTCTGATTTTCCCGGTTTCCTTTTTCTGACGAGAATTCTTTGTGCCCCAAGGCGCTGCTCGCACACGTCTACACACGACACGGATTGTACGGCGTGAGTTTCACTAGAAGTCGCGGAAAATAATGCATCGTCATTAATATTGTAATGCGGGAAGAGTAGATCCGCAGCCGCGATATACCTCATAGATAAGCGTAACGGCGAGAACGGACAGCGGTAAACTTAATATCCGGTGGGGAGTGTTCGATTACAAAAGATCTTTTTTTGCACATTATTTGCTCCACTACTCCGGATCTTCGCGCTCGATCAAAACAGTATCGAATTCAGCTTCCGAGGTTCGAAACGCGAGGTCCGAAAGTCGGGCAAAGAACCGCTTGGCCGTCGTCCGACTTCTACGATTTCGCATAGCGCGAACGTTGCGGACGTCACAGCCGCGCAGATACGCGCAGATAAGCCGCGTATCGAATAACGCGTTGACAGCTGCATATATTTTAACAGCTGATGACTGTGGAACGCGCATCAGCATTATAATGCGTTAGCGAGAACGCGCGGTGGCCCGGAAACGAAGAGCGAGGCTCTCGCTTTTCACCGTTCGAGCCGATCGTTTTCGTTGGTATTGCTAATATAGCTGCGAGACTTCTTCGACGACACTTGTTCGGTAGCAGTCGTCAGGCAACGTAACCGCGGAAGGTTTGGGGGCTAGCATTTTTTTAGGTACTGCATATTTGCATGCCGAATTTATTCGTGCATGATTTTTAACTCGTTTCGCCAGGATTTACGTACACACTATGACACCACAGCTACACCGAGGTTAATTGAATCCCTCCTCCTCTTCCCCCTTTTCCCCCTCCTCCTCCTCCTTCCCTTCACTCGCTACGTGAAGCTTTCAAACGCCGCGGCGCCGCGGCCAATCTCGCGCCGCTAAAGACGTGGAATTTCGCTATCAATACGCGAGCTCATTTATTGACACTACCGTTAATTAAATTTGATAACTTGTGTACACCGCGCGCGTTCGTAACGCTACTTAAGCCTATCCGCACCTCTATACCGCGGGAAAGTGAACGGGAAGCGAGACTTATGGCGGTTAATTAATCGCAGGAGGCAATCTTGATTGCGCCAAATTAGTATGTGTCACAGACGTCGTGATGGATATTTCGACGCAGGAATTAAAGCCGTCAGGGAATCCCATGCCGCGTGCATTACTCGCCGGTTCGAAGAAGCAATTAAGTAATGGAGTTACCGCGAGTGTATGTGCGCCGAACGTACTATTATATTCATATACATAAATCACGCGTCATAAATACGTTACCTCGAACGCGCGAATCGGATAACAAAAAATAAGGGGTTATAACAAAATCGATATTTTTACCAGTGATAAAGAAGCGGTCACTTTTGACGCGAAACATTACAGCGGGAAATAAAAGTATATTTTAATATTCCGGTACAATCATGAAAATAAAAGTAATAAAGTAGCAGTGTTAACGATAAGGCTCGCAAAAAAGTGCCTTACGATTTTTCACTCGACTCATCGCAAATGCTCTTGTCCTGCAATTCCTTCGGACAGATTTATGCGACGTAAATTGCACAGGATAGCAGATTTCAAATGCCAACGAGCGACGTGTGTGTAATTTTTGTTTCGAATATTTACTCGATAGACTTAAAAACTGATCGCGCGGAAAACGATAAATCAAGAGATATAGATCAAAGATAATTACGTCTGATATATGTGTCATATGTATTATATTAGTATATACCATAATATGATTATTACTATAAAATATATAACTTATAATCTAATATATATCGCAATATAGTTTGTGCTATTATTTTCCATGTCCTATGCGAATTCACTTCTATATAAAACAGCGTTACGTTTCGCCGCGTGTATTTTTCTACATGGAGATTTTTCTCATGAAGATACCTGAAAATCGTCACCCTTGCCACTTTATCGGAGTGCCGGCGGAATAGACGGAATTTCTGAGGAAACGCGGATAAATCAGCGCACGTGTGTGGGTCGTATAAATTTCTACTACGACGTACAATCTCGCGCCTCTCGCTGCTACGGTGATCGGTACTAAGAAGCTGGGCGAGATGGTTGCCGGGAGCCATCGAAAGCGGTTGACCGTTTTCGTCGGAATCCCCGGTCAGGATTCTTCGAGAAAAAACGGCAACTCGCGCAATGGCATAGATATTATACCATCGCATTCCAGCCTCCTTCGAACACTGGAGGCTACGTATTAATCTTCCGCAATTTTTTCTCGTTCACGCAACAGCTTCATTTAATTTGTCGAAAATACAAAATTAAACACACTATTATTATCAATGTTGAATTTAATTAGTAGATGTTATTATTCTAATTATTACGATTATTAAGGTATTATAATATCTTAATTATCAGTAATTTGATAGCAACGGCGTGATGCCCAAGTTTATAATCTACTCCGTTAATTAGCATGCTGTTAATCAATCCGTTCGAAATAAACGAAGCAAGCCGCTTAAATCGCAGTAACAATACAAACGTTATCGTTATGTAAAACAAATCTCTATAAGATGCATCGATTCCGATACGCGTCGCGTATATGCATTCGAATATATTTTCATAACAGTTTTGATATTCGCGAAAATATTGCAGCGCGACTCTCGATAACATTAACAGTTTCAACGTCGATTCTTTTCGAACGCAGATATTTTCGGCTCGTGTGAAAATTGCGCGGTATCGAGGCGAGGGCCGTAGCAACCGTGGGTTCGCGAACGATCGGTAATAAAACCGCGGATTCTGTACGCACGCGGGCGGATATACCGTACTATAATGCGAATATAATGACGATGTTGCGAGTTAACAGCGGGTTAACAGTCGTTGATTTCGTTTCGCATACGCGGCCGCATATTTTACACACGCGCGTGCCGCGTGCGACACGCATCGTACGCGATACTTCGCAATTCGATACCGCGACATGGAACACGGAACTCTCTCGGATCGGTTTTTTTTTTACCGAACGTGATACACACGGATTGTCAAAACGTGACTTCTGTGCAATGACACGCGCGGAATTTCTCGCGTTTTATGATTCACGCGTGAAAGGTTATAATTGCGGTTGTAGCGCTGAAACGATTGAAAGATCTAGAGCAAAGTAGACTCATGGTATTTGGCCTTAATTTATTTAATTATTAATTTGCTCTAAACCTTTTCTATTTTAATAATACTGCAGGGATATTACTTGCATATCAGGTTACAACATGACCATTATATCAACATTTCGAAATATTCCAAATTATTTTGTATTGTTGTGCTTTTATATTTATGAATATTTTGTACGCATAAAACGTGATACGATATTGTAAGCCGATGAACGAATTTTTTTCTAACGTAATGGAATATATGTATTAATGAATAGTTTATTGCCTGAGAGAGATATCGATCGAAGCTAATATCTCTCTGGTATTGGAAACATTTCATTACCCGATTACTTTGACTGAATCGTATTTAATTCAACGATGCAAAACTGTTCGCCGATATGCACTGTTCGCCACCGTTAATACGTTTATATAAACAAATTGTTTTTTATGCAAGAACATTTCTACCGAGTGTACAACGTTACCAAGCATGCGCGAAGGCGAACTGTCAGTTATTTGCGAAACGCGACATCGCACCGAATCGTAAACGCGCATCGGCATATTAAAAGCATCGACGAAATGCATTCGTAATCGAGAACGAAAATAGGCGTGAAAACAGCTGCTTAACATTGATAACAGCCCCACTAAATAAACGTACGTTTACGCTAATTAGCGTCCGTGTTTTGTAAGAGGCATTATTCCCGGCAGGCGGTCGCGCTCTGATTTTGCGGATGCGAAAATTCGCCGTTAAGTAACGAGACCGGCGAGAAAGTCCTGTGTTCGAGTGCGTTTCATTTCGCGTGCTCCAGTTTGCGAACACTCCGTATATATCATGCACACGTAAGATCCGCCGTGGACGACCGCGGAGCGGCGCGGCGCGGCCCGAGCAACGGGTCTTCTTCCTCGTAAACACTCGCGAAGCCGGAACTTGCAACAACAGCCGCATACCATGCATACCCGTGTGTTCAGCAAAATTATCGAAGGCTGTCGTGCTTTTTTTCTTTCTTTCTTTTTCGTTTCCCGTACGAATCCGCGCGCGCGCGCGCGGACGAGCCGTTCCCATACGTGACTTTCTCGACGTTTGCATGACATATCTGTTCCGTAGTTACCGAGAGGAATAAACGACAATTTGTGAACATACATGTATTTCGCAACGAAGTTACGTCGACGGAATGGGGGGGGGGGGGCATCGGACGCATTGTACGTACACGTAATCGACGCAAGCCGGCATTATTGTCGGACTGCGATTCCGACAATGCCTAGAGACGAGTCCACCGTTTCCGGCCCGAGCGATCACGAGGAAGCGATCGTTCGCAATTAACTTTACCAGTCGCCAGGGAAAGTTCGAGGGATACGTTGAAAATTTTGCACTTTCTCCGCGAGTACCTGCGCGTATAACGCATGGAACGCCTTTTTGTCAAATCCAATCCCGAACTTTCAAACCAGAGTTGCTATACAGACTCGGAAAACCCAGAAAAATCATGGAAATTTAGATTGGCCAGGGAAAACTGGGAAAAATCACGGAAATATATAAAAGAGTCTGACACTTTACTCTTTCTCTCTCACACACCACACATAATTCCCATAAATGCTCTTATTCTAAAGTGTACTTATAATTTTTTAAATATTATGTCCAACATTTAAAGTCATATGCGTTCAAAATTCGCGCACTTTACTAGTCATTTCTTATGTACTACTATAAGGAGGCACTTTTGAGGCGCTCTTGCGTCGATTTCTTGTTTTCTTCCTCTACTTCTTCTCTTGCGATATTAATTAACAAAATAATTAAAATTTATATTTTATTCAGTGCTTTCATTTAATCGTTTTTTTCTCTCATAACTGCATTCTTTTTTCCAATACTTATTTATTTTTGTTGGCCTGAATTTGCATTCAGGATTATATTATTACTAAACTTATTACTAAACTTCCAATTGAAAGCAATTTTGCATTGTTTCTAATAATATAAGCTATCTTTCTTGCAATCCCTGTTTCTGAATGTTAAAGTTTAAGATTACATGTTGGTCATGGAAAATTCTCCATTAGCGTCTGCAAAACATGTGGAAAAGTCAGGGAATTTCAAAATTTATTTTCTATAGCAATTCTGAAACGTACGCCCGAAACGTTTCGTGAGTGAACCGCGCTTATGAACAGCTTTCGGATGAAAGATCACGTGGCATACAAAAGTGCTATACGTATTCGTCGTCTGCGTGCATTTGACGTAGAGCATCTTGCGTGTGTAAGCTTTATACGGCGTTCCTAAGGTTTCTCACGTCGGAGTAGAATCACTTAGAAATCTAAAGTCTCTCATCGTGATCTTTACGTTTGTATAACTAGTTCTCTGTCCCATTGAAAGCTATGCGAAATCTCTTTGCGGGGCTTCTATAGAAAGTAATTTGCTCATTACTGCTGTTAAATTTCATTTAACCATCTTATGTACACATGAAAGAGAAATAAAAGAGAATGTGCATATTTGATATGTATCATAGTACATATCTACTTTCATATATACCTTTTTATTACATCGTAATCACATTCATTTTTGCCAAGTTTCGAAAAACACGCACAACTTATAAACTCGCTTTCCGAATCGGAATATTGCGTGAGAACGCATAGAAAAAGTCCACGGAAAATCGAGAGAATCATCCGCACAGAGATTGATATATATCTGTTTTCTTTTTGTTACAGGGTACTATGAGCCTAACGAAACGCATAGACGAGATCAGGTTGCTCGAATCACGTAAGAGCGCACGACTCGCCGATCAGGATACGGATTTCGCCAGGCTCGCCGATATGGCTGGCGATCGTAAGCGAGCGTCCTCCCACTCTATCGACGTGCCACACGTGATGGCGTAAGTTTTTTCCTCTTCTTTCCCTATTACCGTCGCTTATCTGGAATGGTTTTATGTTCGGGCAGCAGATAAGGTTGAAAGTAACTGTCGCCGATTGACAATAAACTTGTTCCCAAGACAAGCGGAATCGTCCTTTTAAACGTCGTTTAAAAGCAAAATACAGTTTGCGGAGCGCCGCGCGCCGTGCGACTCTCGCTCTTGACTTGATTATGCAAATTTCACGCACCTTTCCCATGAAAATTATTCAAGCGTTTCGCGTTACGTCTTGAATTTTTAATTTTCGCATTGTATCTGTAATATTGCAGCTTGGCATAACTCGGGAGATATTGCCTCGAAACAAGTATACCGCGCAATTCTCGAAAAGGAATCAAACAATTATTCACATGTCCGATTCAATTATTGACCGAGTATATCCTTTGTTCTATTTAAATAATATTTTTCATTTCCGTATGCAATAATATGAGACATAAATTTCCCAGATCGACCTGCTGCCTTTATCCCAATCCTATCCAACTTCCACAAGCGTGATCTTCGTGAATTCAACGGCAAAAGCTTCTCCATATCGTAATGCGTCCTTTAAGACTCCTTCTTTTTTGTGTCGAAGATTCAAAGCGACGTGAGTATAACTTTCGTTCAGGATATATTCACTTTTGCGTTATAGTTTAGTTTGTCGAATAATCTTTTTAAAGTAATATAAAAATAACTGACAATGATATAAAATAAAAAGAAAACAGAATGGAAGCAACTAAAGCAACTAAAATTTAAGTAAATTATTTGCTGAATGGCTCATACACCTTTTATTGCCAGACATGTCCTTATATGTCAAAGGTATTCTAACAATCCGACATATACCGAAGGTCATTGCCAGACGCGACGCGTTGACAAGACCTTTGGTATGCGAGGTTATTAGAATACCCTTTCTCCATGTCAGGCTTCTTCCTCTCGTCGCGTAATACTGACAAGTACAGGTCCGCACATATTTCTCCTAGATAAAATATAAATCTTATATATATATAGCCGTGTGTCCCGAAGATCGGACATATTCGATGCTAAAGATAAAAAGCTGAGCATCTGCGTGATGCATAAAGCAAGAACGAAGGAGCATCCGTTTGCGGATCGTTAGACCGTGAATGCACCCTCGCCGGGCACCTGTCTCTCACCTTTATATGCACGCAACTCCCCAGAACGCTTTACGCCTCACCCCCGTTGAATGTCAGTGAATATTCGCTGTAGGGACGTCGCGGTGAGGAATAGCCGACGGATATTTTAGTGAAAAAAACGTGCAACGCAACAATGCCTCCGTGATTGCAATTTCCTGCTTGAAAGTCCTACTCCAATCGTACAATTCTTTGTGCTATATCAGTTAAGTACTATGAGTATATGTACATATATATGTGTATTATACACAACTCTCTGATAATCTGATCTTACGTTATTATTTCAAAGTACTTAATTGAATCAATACAGCGTAAGGAATTGTATGATTAGAATAGGATTTCCAAGAAAAAAAAATTCATGTGAAACAAAAACTGCGATATCTATGTATAATTTAATTTGAATCAATACATCGTAATTTTATATCCATTGAATGAATGGATGAGTAATATTCTATGCTACGAGAGATATTCTATGCTGTTACGATAATATTATACGTTTTATCGTTGCTTGAATTGTTTTTATATTTAAATATAATTCATTCAAATCTCGGACGAAATCACCGTCGCGAGATCCGCTTATGAGATTACTTACGTGATTGAAAAACAATGAAGTTTCTCGTTCCGCCTACTCACGTGGCGATCTGTCTGGAGTCTGTGACCTGCGATCCCCATCATCTGAGACGAAATTTTCTCGCTGTCTCGCTTCTTCTTTGTCGCCGTTTCTCTGAAAAGGATAGGATCGGTCATAGCCCGACAGGGCGATGAACTCGCAGGTTAATGACTCCCCTCGACTTTTCGTTTACATCAGTGTGGATAAAGTCGGTCCTTAACCCGAGGATCCTCTCGCAAAAGACATGCGAGGAAATCCGTACAACGTCCGACAGCGGTGTCGATCTGTAATTGTGGACAGGTAGAAAAATGCCCGGTACTTTTTGGTAGGGAGCGTGCACACACCTGGCCCTGGCACGACCTGCCCCACGTGAAAGGAAAGGTCGTCGAAGAGAAATCGAATGCCTTTCGAAGCGCGATGGTATCGGCGACGAAAGCGCTCACGAACTCGGGCTACCGTTTAGCGAGACCTTGTATCGCGTCCAAGGTTTTAACACGCCGTTAGAATTAATCTGGTGATTGTACAAACGTTAGACAGCTCGTAACGCGGTGTAAGCAATCTTTCTGTGTGATCCGCGATGATATTAAAATTATATCTGAATCTTCACAGAAATGTGTGTGTGTGTACAGTGGTACTTCAAGAGTTCCGACTTATTCGAATATTTTTCGCAAAGTAAATAGTGTGCACATGAATAAAACGAAATAGATTTTTAATATACATGTTGTATTACGGCATTTTATATGAAGAAGTCGATTCTTTGCAGAGTTTGCGCGATTTTTAAACGACGGCTCAGGGAGTTAGAAAACCGGGTTCACGTAAGTGATTTGCGCCAAGGTATTTCTCCGTTACGTCGTCGAGGCACCGTTTATTCTTTCTTTTACCTTTACACGCAACCGTGCACGCCACATGGTGCAACGTGAGTACCTGCGCGTGCGGGTTTGCGATAATTGATGCCGGCAAATTGAGCAACGTAGCAGCACTCTTTCCTCCCGTGACGTAATTCCGTGCACTCTGCGCGAAACGATAATCATTGTGCCGGGCAATTTTTGTATACGTTTTCGGCTTTCGCTCGCGCACGATTACTTCGTTTCAGGCCGCTAGTCGGTAACGAGAACAATCGGGCTTGACGACGAACGAAGGAAAATAGTTGTCCGGTAATAATCGCGATGTTCGCGTGGGTGCCCCCGCTGATTTGACTCGTACGTTTCCCTCGCGGGGTACATTTTTAGCCGGTTTGCACACGTTACTCGCTCTCGTGCATCGATAAAGAGCAAAACGCGAGCATGGGGATCGGTGGGACGCGGGCGCGTGGAGAAACGCGGAGAAACGGAGAGGAGGACGAGACGATAGCCGCGAATAGATACGGGATGTGGATAATCCAAAATATAACTTGACGGGCTGAATAACTCCCATCGCCGCCAGTGCCACGTCAACGGGCGCAGTGAGTCAGTAGGTTAGCTTACGTAATTTTCGGACGGCAGTTCTCCGCGCACCGACGCCGACGAGGAGGCGGAGGCCCCGACTTGCGGTGTCGGGAATTAGGTCGATCAATACCTACGCGGCCGCGCTATATAGGTCAGGTGCACTACCACGCTCCGTGTATGCGACGACGAGCAGCGCTTGGTCCCCCTTCCCGACACCTAGCAACCCCCGCGTGCCACCCACTCCCGGTCACGAGCCACCCACCGGGAGCCGGGACAAAACCCACCACTCCCGCTTTCAACTCAAAACTCGGCCATTCCCTACTTTCGTTCTCTCGCGTCCCGCTCCACATACCCGCTCGCGGCGAGTTAACGCGTTAATTGACTTCAATCAGCTTGGTCCAGCTGGTTCTTGCGAGAGATCGAATTGGGTGATCGTTATCTCGGTCGTTAGTGCCGCGGAATTCGCCTGGAATTCACGAGACTGTTTGTTCTCTTCAATTCTCGTGCAATCGGGGAACGCGGAAGTGAAGAAATCGAATAAACGAGGGCCTTTCTCTCACTCGAGATCGAACGATTATCGCGATTAATATATAATAATAAAGAATACTTTCTACATAAACGCTTATCTTGGATTTTCCTATGTATGACAGGGTAATAACATTCTTAAACTCCGTTTTGGACTAGCAGCAAAACGTCATGTCAAATAAATGTTAATATTTACAAAATTGTGAAAAAATAATGATAACTACTTCGTCAAATATACCGAATTGTCGATCGAACGCACATGACTACCTGAAAGCGCTTTGAAGGAGAAACAAGAAATATGCATGAGTCACGTATGGCTTCGCACGTTGTATACTTTGTGCTAAGTCGAGTTAAGCTATTTGCTCCATGACCCACAATAATCATCAAGGTGTCGAGTCGCGGACAGAGGAAGCATTTTGCAAAGCGAGGAAGGTTTCGCAAGCCTATTCGAGCCGTACACACGTACGAATGGTTTCCTACCGGATTGCTGTGTCCAAAACGCGCTAAAACCCCGCTCCCATGTTGGGAACCTGACCTAGACCAACGGCGTTCGCCGTGGGCAACCGAATAACGCATAAGAGATGCGCGAGGCTGAAGATAGAAACATTAGAGGATTGTCCGTAGCCGTGCGCAACCTAGACACACACTCGCCAAGGTCCCGCGCGACAAAATACGCCGGCACCAGCGCGCGCGCGATCTTGACCTACACAGCGCGCGACATGCAGATGTCATTTTAATCATGTAACGGCCTCGTGCGAAGCGAGAGAGAAATTATACGAGGGAATTATATAAACCGTGATGTATTATCGGCATTTCCCTCTCGCTTCCCAAAAAAAGACCTATAAATCCCAAAGCGTGGAACCACCGCGTGACGGCTACCGGCGCGGCGGAACCGGTACATACACGTGCACGCATACGCATATGCACGTCCCGTAGATCATTCCGAAGTGTGCAAGCAGCAAGGTGTAGTGCCGGTCTTATCGGCGTTACACGCCGTTTCCACGCCGCACCCTCATTCATATTTCACCGTTTCGCTATCGCGTCGTGACGTCACACATCGACCGGAGACAGGTGGACGCATGGCACGCTTCCGGTTTGTCGAACGCCACTGTTCACACCTCTCTTACGCACCTAGGAGATTTGATGAATAAACGAAATTGCTCGACGTCGCCCGGCGTCGTCGACGCCTCGCGCGACGTCTTACGACGGGATGTTCTGAGGGTGTCGAGGGCGGTGGTGATATATGGCGGTGGGTGGTTAAGGTGGCCAAACAAACTGTAGGTC